TTACAACTGACCAAATAGTCAGTGGTCACTCAAAGGATTAGACTGTAAATTCAAGCATGTATGTATGTGTGTGTGACATTAAAGATAGTTATAATGTTATTAAAGATTTATATTTCAAATTGAATTCAAAAGTATCATGATTTCCACAAAAATATTGAGCAGCAAAAACTGTTTTCAACACTGATAATAATAACAACAACAAAAAATCAGCAAATTAGAATGATTTCTGCAGGATCATGTAATGGCTTCTGAAAATGTAGCTTTACCCTCACAGGAATAATTTATATATCAAAATAGAAGACATTAATTTTAAATTGTAATAATATTTCACAATATTCCTGTTTTTAATATAGCCTATTTTTGATTAAACAAATGCGGCCTCTAAGAGACATCTTTCAAGAATATTAAACAATTTCACCAACCCTAAACTTTTGAATGTTAGTGTACAGGTAGATTTTAAGGGTCAAATTATTTTCTCAATACTGGGCAGTTTTCATAAATCTAGTTTGAGTGACAAATGGAGCTCAAACATAGTTCAGGCAGACCACGGCGTGACAGCCAGCATTGTATAAGATTTTTATTAATCAGAATATGAATTAATCAAGTATAATCAATGTGAATATAGCCATGTTTGTAATATACTATTATGATCATGTGTTTCTTGTATGTAGTGATGCCTGCAGGAGAGTGTAATATGCGTAGTCAAGTTATTCTACTATTATGATCATATGTTTCCTATGTGTATGGAGGACTGCAGGGGAGTACAATGTGTACATTGTATGGAGTAGAAGGACTGTGTATGAAATGTGTTAAACACATCTTGAGGAAAAACTATATAACAAGTGTGCAGACAGATTCGACGGATTCTCTGCAGAGTTTCTCGGATTCATTGTCTCTGACAATAAAGTCTATCTTCTGGCATCAAAACATCAAGACTTCTAGAGGGATTTCTCACAGAAGCGGCAGAAGTCACCACAGCATCAGCTGACACTCAGCTGATTGTAACTCCTCCCACAACAATTAAATAAGATATTTAAGTTCTTCCGTACTCACACTTGCCTTAGTCTGTCACGCAGAAAATGTGTGTTTTGTGTGACAGTTTGGTCACACAGAAAGGTGCTAAAACAGCTTGAGTTCCACCATTCGTAAAATCAGCTTTCGGTTTCGTTAATCAGAAAATGTGTTAAATCAGCCTTCGGTTCTGTCACACAGACAAACATTAAGTCAGATTTCAGTCACTGCATAGTCTGTTGCACAGACACTTCGCTTCGATCGTTATTGCCAATAACATATTGCCATATATATACAGTGGGTACGGAAAGTATTCAGACCCCCTTAAATTTTTCACTCTTTATTATATTGCAGCCATTTGCTAAAATCATTTAAGTTAATTTTTTTT